TACTTCCTAGCAGCACACTTCACAAGATTCAACAGTTGGACCATGACACCGCAGGACAAGCCATGGGTGCAATTAGAAGCTGATAGCACCAAATGCAATCTACAAATCCTATCCTGGATCTCGAGAGACGCCAGCACACGATATCAACTCACAAACCTGTTCATGATAGCAACACTCAAAACCTGGCATGAAAATAGCACCAAATTCTACATCATGACAGGCCTAGTGCCATGCTCCCTCTGAGAGGCAACCCTAACTTCCCAGCAGGAGACCAGGGCCCACTCCCACACCTGATGAAACACCGACCACTACTTCTTATAACGGACGTTCTAATCACACTGTTTGCGATTCGTCCGACAGCAGACTTCTTCCCAGAACAACCACTCACATTCCTACATACAATGGCGAGAGAACAAATATCACACTATGCCAGATCGATCCCACAAAAACCCAGCCTACTTTGAGACAAAACGGACTTTGAATCGCTCTGCCTGCAGGAAGAGATGGCACCTAAAGCTATCTCCTTGATCTATGCTTCACTGGTGACAAACCGATACCTCTTGACGCCACCCTACATCAGACAATGGGATGACGACCTCGATTAAACACTCACAGAGGCAGAATGGGACAAAAAAAGGAGATGACCTGCTGGTCCATTGGCTGGAGTAGTGGGGTGGTGTTAGGCAGAAGGAACATGACCTTCCTCGAGGCCTGGAGGATGGGCAGGGGCATTGTCCATGAGCAGCATGGCCTTGAGTGTCAGGTTATTGTCCACAAGGTACAGCAGGACCAAAAACCGCATTGACCCACTTCACAAACAAGAGGCATGTGACCCAAGCCTTTGGATTAGACTGCCATAAAACGCTCAACTGCTCCTTGTTCACCTTGTGTTTCTTGAAGGCCCATGGGTTCTCTGAATGGTAGACAAGCAGGGGCTTGATCTTAAGGTCCCCACTGGCGTTGGCGCAGAACAGGAGGGGGAGACGGTCCTTCATCGGCTTGTGGCCAGGCAATGAGGTCTCCTCTTCTGTGATGAAGGTACGCTTTGGCATCCTCTTCCAGAAGAGTCCAGTCTTGTTGCAGTTGAAGACCTGCTAAGGAAGGTAGCCCTCTGAAACTGTGACCTCCAGGAACTCCATAGCAAATTCCTCAGCTGCAGCAACATTGGAACTTGCAGCCTCTCCATGCCTGACCACACCGTGGATGCCAGATCTGGTCTTGAACCATTCGAACCACCCCTTGCTGGCCTTGAAGCCTTCTGCATCTGCTGACGTTCCTGGCTGTTGTGTGAGGAGGTCAGCGTGCAAGGCCTTGGCTTTTTCGCAGATGATCGCCTTGGTCACTGAGTCCCCTGCACGCTGATTCTGTTCAATCCAGAGCAGGAGCAACTTTTCGACCTCCTCCAGAACAGGTGGCCGTTGCTTGGAGATCCTGGTGACTCTGTTGGCTGTATCTTATCTTCTCTTTCATTTTTAGGATTGTACCGATTGTGGATGCACTCCTTCCATCCTCTTTGGCAAGGTCAGTCAATCGCATTCCTCCTTCATGCTTCCTGATGATTTCTTTCTTGTCCTCAAGCAGAATCATCTCCTTCTTCCTCTTCCCAGCTTCCGCTGCTTTCTTGGGTGCCATGACACCACCGTCACTAAGTATGCAAAAAAAAAAGCTTTACACCCACATGAGCTGGCATGGAAACCCCAGTAAAAGACATGCACAGCACATGAGCCTGCATGGAAAACAACACCACATTGCAAAACACACAGTACAGTACTGTAACAGGCATGCACAGCATATGAGCTGTGACAGGCATGCACAGCATATGAGCTGTGACAGGCATGCACAGCACATGAGCTGGCATGGAAAACAACCCCACATTGCAAAACACACAGTACAGTATTGTAACAGGCATGCACAGCATATGAACTGTGACAGGCATGCACAGCACATGAGCTGGCATGGAAATCAAACCCACAATGCAAAACACACAGTAACAGGCATGCACAGCACATGAGCTGTGACAAGCATGCACAGCACATGAGCTGGCATGGAAAACAACCCCACAATGCAAAACACACAGTAACAGGCATGCACAGCACATGAGCTGGCATGGAAATCACCCCACAATGCAGAACACACAATAAAAGGCATGCAAACAACTAAGCTCAGCTCCCTACCTTTCCACCTCTTGAGATGCGCCAAAAAGGCTCCAAAACCTGCTACAAATGGCTCCAAAAGGCTCCACAACTTGCTGCAAATGGCTCCAAAAGGCTCCAAAACTTGCTGCAAATGGCTCCAAAACCTCTCCACTACCCAGATTCCAGAATGTAGGGAGTGGAGCTATAAACCGGGACACTTGTTTCGTATTGCGAAAAACATTTGTAAACCGAGGCTTTTTTTTAATGAATTCTCATTCGTAAACCGAATTTTCCGTTTACCGAGGCGTTTGTTAACTGAGATTCCACTGTACTTCCAATGAAAATATACATTCAGTTAATTATGCATTCTTTAATTGGGGATATATCTAGAAACAGTTTGCAAAAGTTACATATCAACGAAACAATGAAAGGGCACTTAACTATAGATATGTTTTCGTATATATAGGTCCAGGCCCTTGCATACATTTTTGAAGCTTGTGCATAGCATCAGACATGACTCCAACCAATTAATGTAAGAAAGGCATAAAGGTTGTGCCATTTAAGTTTGGTGTTCTTGAGAATGAGGAAAATGTTGTCTAGTGAAAATAATGTTGCATTCAGAATGATGCCACCAGGTATTTGAGTTTGGTGCTCTATGTCTGTAGAAGAGAATGTTCCCTTCCTTCATAATTGAATTGATGCAACTACACTCAAGTTGGATTCAAAGTCACGGGACCTTGCAAAAAATGATGTGGCTGCTCCACATTTTGGATGTAAGTTCCTCGTTTGACGTGGATGCACCCATATTGTCAATAGAACCTGTGATCGAATTAGCGAAGATGCATCATTAGAGGTATATTTCCAAACAATTACACAGTAGTAGCCTAAACACTGAGTGGTTTAATGTCAGGTGGCAGCACTGAATTGCCTGTATATGAGACACCAGGCTGGGTCATGAGACCCAGAGAGTTAGCCAATGCACCTCTAATATTCCCCTATTCCATGTATCAATTGAAGAGCGTTCACAGTAACTATTGGAGGGCCTATTAGCAATTAGAAATTCACTCAGGCATTGATTAACATGAATTTAACTTGTTTGTTGCAGCTGCAGTGAATTTAGTCACTAATAGAGAAAATTTATGACAAACTTACCGTAATTTTCTTTTCCTGGCTATTTCTCATGGCAGCATCACTTATGGGTAGCTCCTCCCTTAGTAGTCACAGGACAGGAATTAATTAGATTAATTAATCAGACTGATAGGTATAATGAGTCCCTCCTCCCCTTACACCTCAGTCCAATTATAAAGCTGAAATAGAGAATGGGCGGGAACCCTGATGCTGCCATGAGAAATAGCCAAGAAAAGAAAATTACGGTAAGTTTGTCATAAATTTTCTCTATTCCTGGCTAATCATGGCAGCATCACTTATGTGTAATACCCAAGCTTCACAGAAATATAGCGTGGGAATAATAATCCAAAAATTACACAAAACTGAAACACATGCAGCAAAGAAAAGTTTAATATCAACTGGATAAAGAGACCGTAGACAGGACACTCTTCCCAAAGGAGGTGGAAGGAGACTCCACATCAAGTTTGTAGTGCTTCATGAATGTCATCGGAGAAGACCAGGTGGCTGCTCTGCAAATATCATCGTATAGAACCTCTGCCCAGCTAGCCCATGAAGTTGATAATACTCTAGTAGAATGAGGTCTTATCTCCCGAGGGGGTGATATACCTTTAGAGATGTACGCCTTCTTAATTATCAGAGAAATCCAACGTTTCAACGTAGACAAAGAAGCCGCCTCACCTCTCCTTGCTCCCAACGGCAAAACGAAGAGTTGGTCTGTTTTACGGAAAGACTCAGAACGTTTAAGATAAGCAGACAAGCAGTTCATGACATCCAAACGTTGCCATCTAACCTCCTCCTGAGAAGAGGGGTTGGGGTAAAATGATGGAAGAACCACTTCTTGAGAGAGGTGAAACTGAGAAACCACCTTAGGAAGAAACTCTGGTTTCGGTTTCAGACACACCCTATCTTGGTAGAATCGTAAACAAGAAGAAGATGTAGAAAATGCCTTAATTTCTGAAATCCGTCTTGCGGAAGTAATTGCCACCAAAAACAAAGTTTTATACGTCAGGAGAGTAGCATCCAAACTTTCAAGAGGAACAAACAGATCCTCAGTGAGATAATTGAGCACCATAGGAAGGTTCCAAGGAGGGGTAGTAGATCTGGAAGGAGGCCTCAACCTTAAGGCCGCTTTGAAGAACCTGGAAATCAAAGGATCCGAAGCCCATGAGATGTTGCATAAAGCTGAAAGTGACGAAGACTGAACCTTCAAGGTGCTGAGGCTAAGGCCCTTGTCCAGGCCCTCTTGCAGAAACTCCAAAACTTCAGTATTGCTAGGATGCAGAAAGTCCACATTATTAGACGATGCCCAAGATTGGAACACATCCCAGATCCTATGGTAGCATGAGGAAGTGGAAGCCTTCCTGGAGAGCAGAAGGGTATTGATCACTGCCTCCGAGAGACCTAGTAATTGGAGTCTTTCCTTCTCAAGACCCATACCCCCAGTTTGAGGTGTTCTGGATGAGGATGGAATACAGGGCCCTGCGTTAGCCGATCCTCCATCACTGGAAGAGGCCAAGGTTGTTCCTGGCTCATCATGGCCAATAGGGGAAACCACGGTCTCCGAGGCCAAATTGGAATTACGGCAATGACCTTCCTGCCTTCCGAACAAACCTTCCGCAGGAACCTGGGTATCATGGGTAGGGGAGGGGAAGCATACCCCAGATCGAACGACCAAGGGAGAGAGAGAGCATCCTGGCCCAGTGCCTCACGGTCCAGGTGGAGAGAGAAGTAATTCACCACCTGGTGGTTCTGAGATGATGCCATCAGGTCGATCTGGGGCATGCCCCACCGATGAACAATTTCTGCAAAGATCGCCGGGTGAAGTTGCCATTCTCCCAGAAGAATTTCCTTTCTGCTGAGGAAGTCTGCTGTTACGTTCTCCGAACCTGGGAGATAAATCGCCTTCAGGCCTTGAAGATACGTCATGGCTACCATTAAGGGAGCCAGCTCTTCCAGGAGCAACCTGCTCCTCGTGCCACCTTGGTTGTTCACATATGAGGCCACCGCTCGGTTGTCTGTTTTGATTAGAACCCAAGAATTCCTTAACCTTGGTAGGAATCTCAAAATGGCCTTGTAAACCGCTCTCAGTTCCCTTAAGTTTGAGTGTAGGCGACTCTCTTCTCGGGTCCACTTCCCTTGAGTCCATACAGAACTGAAGTGGGCACCCCATCCAAAAGAACTGGCATCTGTTGTAACAACCTTCCAAGGGGGGTCTTCCAATGGGAAGCCTGTTGTCAAATTCCTCTCGCTCTTCCACCAGTTTAAGGCTTTCCTTACGGGAAGGGGAAGAGATATCATCTGTTCCCAATCCGCTTCCACTCTGTTGAACTGGAGAAGGAAGCAGTTCTGGGCCGGACGGAACTTCCACTGGGCCCACTTCACCAAGCCTATTGTTGATGTCAAGGAACCCAGGAGGCTCATTACTTCTCTTGCAGGTGCAGTGTCGAGATCTTGTAGCTTCCTTACTTTGTCCCTGATCTTCTTGACCCTTTCTGGAGACAGGAACACATGTGCAGACACGGTATTCACTACCGCACCCAGGAAAATGATCGTTTGTGCAGGAACGAGGGAGCTCTTTCCACGTTCAGGAGCCAACCATGGTCTTGAAGAATGGACATTGCCACTGACGTATGTTGAGCAACAATTCCTTGAGATGGGCCCAAGATAAGAATGTCGTCCAAGTAATGGAATATCTCGATACCCTTTTCCCTTATAAAGGCTATCAAGGTGACCAGAACTTTTGAGAACGTTCTTGGAGCCAGGCTGAGGCCAAAGGGTAGTCCCCGGAACTGGAAGTGCCTTCCTAGCGCCCAAAACCTGAGAAAACGTACGTGATCTTGATGGATCGGGATATGATAGTAGGCGTCCCTTAAGTCTATTGAGGTCATCCAGTATCCTTTTTTGACACACTTCAAGATGGTCCTCAAGGATTCCATTTTGAACGTCCTTACGTCGAGCAAGGAGTTCACGCCTTTCAAATTCAAGATGAGATGCCATTTTCCCTGTGGTTTTGGGGCCAAGAAGACCGTGGAGTAAATTCCCTGGAACCATTCCCGTTTTGGAACTTCTTCCACCACTTTTTGTTCCAGGAGTACAGAAATGCAGGACCTCATGTCCCTTCGTTTGATGCCTACCGGAACCTTTGATTTTCTGAAGAATGCAGTTTTCGGGTGAGATGAGAATTCTATTCTGTAACCTTCTTTTACGATGGAAGTGACCCATAGGTCTGAAATATTGCTGGCCCATATGGGGTAGAAGAACTTCAGTCTTCCTCCCACCATCCCCGAACGGGCCTGGGGACCTTCAGAAGTTCTTCCCTGGGGTTCTAGCACCT